CAAGTCCCTTGTCCATGATAGCCATCAACTGCAATGCGGCCCAAACTCGCAAGAGTCAGCTAACAGGAGTTCTTGCGGAAGTTGCGAGTGCTATTGATGCAGCGGTGACAAGGAGAGCTGGCGCTGCAGAGAATGGTGTGGTGAAGGTGCAGTCATGCATGCTAGCCATGTTCACAGAACAGGCCTTCCTGCAACGGTGCAGCGGCGAATGGCCTCAAGTGCAATATGCTGATGGCTCTGCCAGCAGATTGCACATGTCGACCTTGATCAAGTTGGACGAGTCCTGTAGGTTCTTACGCATGCTGGGCTTGATTAGCGGGAGTAGCAGTGGCAAGGGCACTGAGCCAGTGGAGATGGCAAGCGAGCTGAATCGCATCTTGCAAACTGGCGCCGCCTCGTACGCCTGCAAGAACGCGGGCTCATTCGGCACCAATGTGGAGCGCAAAGCGGTGAGTGTTCTTGGGTTCGGCAATGCGCACCCGAGCAAATATGTGCCGATTCTGAGCGGAGCAGCCGGCAATCACGATGTGGCTTGCTGCGAGCGGCTGTTACAGACCTCCGGCCGTCCAGTAGAACCACATTCGGGTTTACCATTAGGGTTGGAAGTCCCAGATGGCTTCAAGCCGTGGTTCCTGGGCTAAGATTTTTTGCGCATGCTTTGTGGAATATCAAAGCCTAGTTACTTTGAAAGTGGCGAGGGGGTGTGTTGCTCGTTTTGGTTTGAGGGATTGATTTTGTGTGAACTTTCGTCCTTGACCGTGTCAAGGCTGTGGTCACCCCTCTTGGACTTTATGCTTGAACCGCTTGGGCTACCTGTGGGCTCCAACAAGCGACAAGTTGCTCGGCAAGCATTCGAAGCTGTGGCTCATGATGTTCCTGGCGAAGAGCTCTACAAGGTGCTGCTTGCGGATGGCACGGACACATTGGTTCGGTTTCGACCGGCAACTTAGCCAAAATAAAATGCGACGCACCACATCTGCAGCGGACTCAAATGTAGAGCCCAGAGCATTCGATACCACGTGTTTTCTAGTTTCCCGGGCGTTGTAAGTCAGGGGGCAGCCCCTAAAATTGGCAGTCATTCGTGGCATCGGAAAGATGATGATGGCATTGCATGTTCAGATACTATAGAGGTATGCGCAGACGCACTTGTCCTGTCCCCCTACTACATGTACATTTGACCTTAACGCCCTGAGGTAAGCGGTGGGCAGCTGCTTTGGAATTTGCTTATATGTCTCACGTTTATTTGAACTGGGCCGCACATTCGAGAAACGTGGCTGATGAATAATCAATAGTCATTTGTCGAGTATGGACTTCGTTGTGAAGAGGAAGTACGCACTGTAACCGCCATTTGTTGAGGCGCCCCACCCCACAAGGATAAATTTGTTGACTTACAAGGTATGTCGACGCAGTAACATGCGTGCTAGCAGTTTGCAATGCGCACCAGGAAACCAGGTTGGGGGCTTGTTACACATTCTCTTGCGCCGCGCTGCTCGGAGGCCGCGGCTTTGACGCGATGTGAACAAGTGTGTGCGGAACACAGACAATGGTGTTAGTGGGGGCGTACCAGTGTTGGACCACTTGTTGGTCAAGTTTTTTTGAAATGGAAGTACAGTGCCGCTTGGCGCGCTGCGAGATGGTTAAACCTCATATAGAAAAATATGTATATTTATATATATGAACATGTCATGTGTAGATATACCGACGATGCCTATATGTAGGTACAGCTCTTTGTGAGACATAGTGGCGGGTGACCTCTGAGGAAGGAGAATGCATCTGCGCTGGCTGGGGAGCAAAAAACGCCCTGTGAGTGTATGTGAGACTTTTCTGTCCTCTGGTTGTTCGGAGAGCTGCCAGATTCAGGGACAAACGGAACGGTAGAGCACAGAAAGGGTTTTGCAAAGACCTATTCTACTAACTTCGTGGCAGGCCCAGGACATTCGTGGGACCTGGCCTGATGCGTGGACCATTCGTGGAATGGTGGACCCTTTTAGGAAAACTAACCGCATTAAAAAAGACAGAAACCTTCGCAGAGCTTCGTGGAAGGTATTTTTGATGTACTAACTTCGTAGAAGCAGTTCTTGGAATGTCCTTTTTGCCTTTTTGCAAATTGCTGCATTTCTCCCCTGCCCAGCTGCCCGGTTGCCCGGTTGCCCGGCTGCCCGGCTGCCCGGTTGCCCGGTTGCCCGGTTGCCCGGTTCCGAAGACTGCCCGGTTGCCCGGTTTGCCCGGTTGCCCGGTGGTCCCGACAAAGGACCAATCCCCTCAAGACAGGATCCATCTTTAAATTTGGCAGAAATGTTGGCCTGCAAGAACTCAATCTTGTGCATTGGAATGCGGTGGAGCCCATTGACCAAATCCAGGGCAATTGCCCTTGGCGGAAGGACAGCAAGGATGTTGCTAGACATATTTTTGGGGAATCTTTTCCGTATACACAGGCTAGTCGCGAGCTGAGCAGAGAGAGCACGCGAAGATATAGGCAATGGCTGCTGCGTGTCACCTGAAGCTACTTGGGCACGTTTTTGCTTTTTTGGGACAGTCGATGAGAAAATGACCAGTATAGTGGTTGGTGAACTACATCTCAAGTGAAGAAAACGTTACCTGGAGAGCGGTGTGGCTGCCATGCATTTGTGCATTTTGCATCGCTTACCTTTTGGTGCTCAAAGTGAGATTGCACAAGTCTCCATAGAACTTGGGCCAGCTAGCACCAGATCGTAGCCAGGAACATAAAGCAAGTCAACAGCAATGGAGAATGTACTTGCAAGAATTTTCAACACACCCCATAAGCTTCTCGTAAATATCGTTCACTATATCTACAGTGAAGACCTTCACCAGCAGCAGACATAGACACACACAGACAGGGACTTATACACACACATCACACACAGAGACCCACGCACTGCCTCAACTTACTCGGACACACTCTGACACTTGTATTCAGTGACTCAATTACCACGATGGGAA